ATGAAAGGCCTATGGAAAATTAGGGCACTTTTGTAATTAATAGCGGGAAAATAACATGAAAAGGGGGAAACAGGGATTTTTATAGACAGAAATATATCTATAATGGAAAAAGAGAAATTTTGCGAAAGGTATATTAGTAAAAAAAAGGAAACTGAATGTCTTAATCAATACCAACGTCTTCCAAATAGCTCAGTTTGAGAAAGATAACTTGAATACTGATTAAATACAAGGAAAACGAAAGAAAAAAGAGAATAAGTTTTTATTACGATTTAATGATATTTTGCATGAGGAAGGTTGCCAAGGAGAGAAAGGCTTTCGGTACTGTAATGTTGAAATTTATTTTTGGTAAATTAAAACAAGTAATATTTATTTTCGATAATCTGTAATGGAAAATTTATTTTTTGATCACAGAATCTAACTGAAAATTTGATCAAATAGTCTGTTTACTTTATATCTATATCCCTTATTCCTTTATTTTAGTTAGGTTAAGTTATATTACTCGTTACGAAACAATACTCATTATGGTAAAGACTACCTAAAGCAGTGAAGTATCTTCATGGAGAATTTCACAGCGGGAAATATTCTTGTTATAAATAAGAACTGCCATAAAAATGTCATGCAGCAACCCACCTATAAAGTGGTAGAGATTATCGGTTAAACTACATACTCAACGAAGAATTTCGAGATGTAAATTAACTCTAAAAATAGTAGAATATTTCATAAAATCTGTTTCAATGCTGGAGGTAGAATGGGTTTTGTGAACATAAAAATCAAAATTTTTACTTGCTCCTGTAGAATAAATAGTTCAATTTTTTAAATGTTTACTCCTCATTAACTAAAATTTAAATGACTTGTTCGTTTAAAGGAAATAGGCAAGTATTTTACTTAAAGAAAAAAAAAACATGATTGAAACTGATAAATCCTTTGAAATACAGAATGTAATATTATTAATGAATCTTAAACGTATGTTTGTAATGTGATCAGTTTATGATTTAAGCCATCTTTTCTTTCATCTTTTCCTGTCCCAGCACAGAAGAACTAACAAGACAAGCGGGGGGGGCGATATACGAGTAAATACAGTATTTAAAAAAATACCTATAGCTACTTTTTCAAATAAAACGCATATATATATATATATATATATGTTAATTATATAAATAAATATATACTATAGTTTATCTTAAAATTTATCTGTGAAGATGTGTATATATTACCTTACATTATCTTCAATTTCATTTTCTGATGAGCATTTTGATTAATTCAAAAATAAAATTTTAATTGCTTGTGTCCGTTATAAATTTAAAATGAAATTTCTCATTTATGTTGCTATTAATTAGAAAAAAAGGAGGGGATGCTTTTGGATAAAAATGAAAATAATATCTAGGTGGATTTATTATTATTTTTACATTTTATATAAAGTAATTGCACAATTGGTATTTAATAGCATTTCATTAAAATAATTGAAATGATGATGCAACTAAATTTACTGATCCTGCTGAATTATTTTATTTTCAAAGCATGATCTAAAATTTTCGTATTTTTTGGCTATATAAGTCTCTAACTGAATTAGTGCTTCTAATTATATTTATTACATAAATGGATGTGATAATTTAATGCTGCGATAAAAGTTCCAATATGCCAATCTTACCGTTACGTTATATTTTATTATTCATTCCCCTTCTTTTATTATGAAGATATACATACTAAGGCGCCTCTTTAAAGTAAAGTAAATTATAGAAACTATTGAATATAAATTCTGAGAAATAAAGTTATTATTCAGACATTTCTTATACTTTCCTGTACTTGGGTAAAAGCAAAAGAAAGAGAGAGAACCTTATTTCCAAAAACTCTGTTTATTTACCATATTTTAAGCGTTATAAAAGAAACAATGTTTTATATTCTCTTTTTCTACAGTTTGGGGCAATGTGGTAAGATCTATTCCACAACTAAATAAAAAGTAACCAAAGACATATGTAAGCTGTAGCTTCTCTTATGAGAAGGAAAAAATGCAAATTTCAAAAGTAATTGGAATAAAGTTTTCTTAAAAATATTCTAACCAGACTGCAAACAAATATAAAACATCGAATCAGAAAAACAAATAATTACATTAAATTCAAATCCTTTCAGTTCCCTCAGACTACCAGGGGAACTGATGTCAACTTTTCTCTTTATATATTATACAGACGTTTCGGTAAACCTTTTGGAAGCCTTTTTGATTAGCTTAGAGGAATTCACTTCGTAAATATAAATGAAAAACATTTGTATTGAAAATAGGATATAAGCTTAGTTTTATCACAAAATGCATTCAGAAAATATGTATTAAATTCTATTGCTGCATTTGATTTTTCATGGAGGAAAAAACAAATTACTGAATAGCTGACAATGTTTTTGATTTTTTACAGCAAATTCCAGTAACTTAATTATAAGTTTTTCAGTTTTCCATTCCATTTTCGCAATTTTCTCATGTTGCCGTGTAGAAATAGTATTGTAAATTATTGTAAATATTTGCTTGTATTTTTTAGCACATTTATTTATATTATTGTACATTTGCTTTAGTTACTGTAAATTTGAATATATTACTTTCGCCTACAACAATGTTTGAATTAGCATAAAATTATTATTTAGTTATCTAGATAATAATCAGTTTGTTTTGTAACACTACGCTTACGGAATCAACTAAAATTCATAAATATCTCCAGAAGCACATTACGTGAGCCCTCTTGAAATCCGTCAGTCTTAACTTTGTCAGTGCCTTGAGTTTTCAGTTAGGAAGCTCTCTGACTATAGATAAAAAGGCATAAAAATGTTGAATATTTTCTTTCTCGTTCATTGGAAGACTATGACAGGTTTCGGTGAATCCAACATCAAAGTTTGTGTACTGAATTCATATTCTTCAGTGCTTATATGACTGTTGACACGGATTCTGCATTTTACTAAAATGTGCATGTGACAAATACATATTTTACTACGTATGATGAAATAACACTTTAGCTTTCGGTTCAATGTTTCCCTTGTCTTGTATGTTCCTTTCTTCTCTCCTTCCTCCTATCCTTTCCTTAAACTGAAAATATAGTTCGAAATCTTCCAATGCAACACTGGCCGTAGCACATCCACCAGAGTGTTTGCTAAAACTCCACGTCGTTTAGGTGGTGATAGGATCTTATACCTCTTTCCTAGATCGCATGTGCCCACTATATTTTACAACTAAATCGGTTCTAATGATCAATATGTGCGTTATCTGTGTTCATGGTAGTGTACTCTCGTGATCAGATAGTACCACCTAGAGATACCGATGTAGAGTTGGGATATTAATTTAATCATTACATATTAATTACGGTGAAGTACTCGCAAACATTTTAAGTTGCAAAATCATTTCAAAGTACGTTACTCAGTGGAATTGCGTCGCACGCCGAAATGAGAAAGAAGAAACAGATATTTTTGTCTCCATGGTTTCGAGCCTTAATTCACTAACTGGTTGATAACTTTAACTAAATTCTCTAAGTCTGACGTTATATTTCAGGTCATCCTAGAAGTACTGTCCTTTTTTGAAGTAGGATTTGAAGAACAAAAAATGGGTAAGATATTAATTTAATCAGTTATATATTTCGCATATCCACATACTAATCAATACCATTATTCCAAAACGTTTTTGTGCCTTTCTAAAACAATCAGCGGTTTTTTGGAAAAATATTCTTGAAGGTCTGTTTCAGGTCCCTCATGAAAATTTTACTCTTTTCCGTTCATGAAATTTTGTGAGCTTCGAATATCGATTCACTAGACGGTTAAAAAAAGGGGGAATTTGTTTTATATGACTGATAAGAAGTGCAGATATCCACACGTTCTCTTCGACTAGCATTAGTTCATAATAAACCTACCCGAAAACGTTAGACACGATTCCAAGTTCCTTCAGATGACGATATACAGTGGTTGATAAATTAATCTCTTCTGTCAACTCTTCAACGGTTGCATATGGATTTCTTTAAATTCCAGCTTTTAATACATTATTATCAAAAATGAAAACTCGCCTATAGCAGCTGTCATCTTCCAAACTAAGGTCGCCTTGTCGGAATGTACACAACCATCGTTGATCCTTATGAATTTTAAAAATTATGCCTTTACTATGTACTTCCTCCACATTTTTTACAGCATTTGCCGTATTATTGCCTTTTGTACACTCGTAACATATGATGTGACTGATGTGCTCTTCAATGACCGCCATTCCCATGACGGTTAGTAGTATTTCCATAGTATTTGCATTGCAGACTATAGGTTAAATTATTTCAATATGGCAAAGCACAACGAGGGCTATTTGTCTAAGGGGAATGCTTTCATGAAGAACTTTTAAAGGGAAATGGTTCGTATTCACATTCAAATGGACAATATGAAGAAACTCCAGCCAGTGCGTTCGTCCGGAATCAAATCCGGTTTGAATTCCAGGTATTACGTAGTCTTAATAATTCAGCCAGTGGTGGGATGGTCAGAAGATATAAGACTTTTCTTTAGGTATTCTCCATGAGAAAAATGTGAGTTACGAAATAATTTAATTCATTAATCTCGGAATGGAATTCTTAATGACTTGTCACCTTTCACAGGATATGTCTCACACATTCCATATATGAAATATTTCGTACAGTCAACGCCTTTACTAAAGTAAAGGTTACTCAAGTCTTCAGGATTTCTCATCTTTCAAAGAAGAATTTGTAGTTTTTTAAACCTTAAGATAAATATGAGTTTAAAAACGTAGGGTTTAACATGAACTCGGAAAATAAAATATGAACTCGGTGTCACGAAAAGAACAAAAGATCAAAATACACGAAAAGAACAAAATCTGTTGGCAAAATAAATTTGATCGATAGATTCGACGCTCAAATTTTACAAATATCCGACTGAAAAAAAAGCTTCGTATCTGGATAAAATGAAATAAAATAAAAACAGAGTAAACACAGCATGCCCTTAATATATTAGTTATTGAATATTTATTGTTTGCAAGCTGTACTAACCTGTTAAAAAGATTTTCATATTTGCTTGAAACAAATCAAATTTCGTAAACTAGTAACGCGCCCCTTTTTGGTTTTCATCCTGAGAAGTTTACCACAAACTCTTCTTAACATCACGAGCAACTCAAGCGCCATTTTTTGAAGCAAAATATGGCACACCTCTTGCAAGTGACACTTTTTTCTTGGCCACCATTCATCGCAACTTCCCCCCCCCCTTTCTTGCCCCCCACACACCCGTCGTTTCCCGGTGCCAATTTTTCCGCTCGGCTGCACGCGGCGCATTGAGTCAGGTGCCATTCAGTGTGTCCCTCAACCCCCGACCTTTTTACGAAGAATGATGGATGTGAGGACGTAAAATAGTCCTCCCCTTACCCCCTGGATCCCCTCTTCCCATTCTTCCCCTTTATTTTACGGTTACTCTTGACTTCTGGAGCCTGCACCTCGTCGCAAACGTCTGCAACGGAAGTGGTAGTGTTTGAAGAATCCTGGCGGCGGTTGTTCTCCCACCCCATTCAGCCAGGTTACCCTTTATTCTTCAGCTTCAAACTTCCTGATCTAATTTTTGGGAGGAGTATTTAGAAAATTAGTATCTTCCATTCTACAGAGGAAAGACATCCTTGAATCTTTATCCCTCCCCACACAGTGAAGAAGATTACCGAGGAGAGATCTCATTAGAGTAAACCCACACAGCAAAAGAATCATCTAACTAATGCCTCTCTTGAAGGGAAATTAACGTCCGTGACCATTATAAGCCACTGCAATTAGTTTAGAGTCGTCATATCTTAAATGAATAATTCATTCCGTCTCCAAAAGCAGATAATCGTTGAATCAAAAATCTGAAATGCAATGGTTTTAACTTTTCTGGTTATCTTTATTTAATCTTTATTAAAATTCTTACCACAAATTTAATTTATGAGATAAGTAGCAATGAACATTAAACATTAAGACATAACATTATCAAAATAAGTTTTCTTAAAATGTAGAAAGTAAGAAGAGAAACTTTATTTGTTATTATTCACCATGAAATTTAGATGTCAAGCGAAAAGATATTTCCTCTAGAACTGCAATAAATATGGTGGTGCTCCTTTTCTTTATATTTGATTATATACAAATCTTTTCTTATACACAAATTAAGAATAGCACACTATATGAAAGAAATATACACGTATCTACGATAACACAAAAATATACGTCAGTACCATCTTCACTCATAGAACACAATTCCAGTAAGTGTCTTCAGCAATATGCACTCATATAATACATATTTTTGCATTAATATACGTGCAGAAATACAGGAGGAGCCTGCTAAGAAATGTTTTAAAGGCTAAAGATGTAAAACCTTTTCAAGCGGAAAGTATTAATAGGAAAAATTTACTAAGCGCAAGAAGATACCAAGTGTTCAGTGGCATAGCTAGTTGTTTCCAGCGCCCGGGGACAACTGAAGAACTTGCACCCCATTTCAGTAAATATTTCGCACAATCAATTTGGCACCCCTTGGATGCTGCGCCCGAGGACAGATATCCCCCCTTGCCCCACCCTAGCTACGCCACTTGAAGTGTTATAGTTATTGTAAAAAAATAATAACTGATTCATTTCGCTTATTCTCATATTGTTTGACAGACTAATTTCAAACTGTTGATTATTTGATTTCAAATATTTTAATAATGACTTGTAGAAGCTTAACAAAAAAGAAAAAAAAAAAAAAGATATCAACTGGTTATTCAGTACTTTTTTCTTTTTATCTCTTTTTCAGTTCAAGAAAATAATTAAACTTCTCTGATGCTTTTAAGGTTATTGTTCCTAAATGGTCGGAATGTGGGGCTGAGTATTTACACCTTAATTATTGGAAGATATGAAATTATCTTTCTTTTCTCCTTCACTTTCTGGCCCATACCGGTTTTCTATACAGAGTTATTCAATTATGTTAGGTTATTTTGAGTACGGCAAAGCACATGAAGGCTATCCATTTAAGGGAAGGATTGTCTTCGTAAAGAACTTTCCAAGGGACACTGGCAGGTATTTGTGTACCATATGAGAAAAACCACGAAAATCAATCATGTAACCAGTTTGCTTGCCTAGGTTCGAACCCCGGTCGAGCTTCTACCATTTAGCGGCCTTAACTATTTGGTCAATGGTGAGGCCGCTTTTCAGTACGATTCAATAGTCAGAAGATGTACACGCAGTTGATATCAAAAATTAATATACTATAAGATTTCATCATCTAACTGATCGAGCTAAACAGAGCATCATCGTCCAGTTTTTATGGCTATATTCAGCTGAAAACCACGTGAAATCTTCTTAGGCTTTCGCACGCCGGTGACATGCGTCAAAATTGATAATATTTTGGTACATATCGATTACTCGATAATCAGAAAACAGAACTTCAATCATCTACATGAAACTGAAAAAAAAAAAAAAAAAAAAAAAATCTTCGACGGAAATAAAATTTCGAAAACACTTTTTTATGCCTATCTTTACACATTAGTAGTTAGTAAAATTTCTTTTAAAATTCCTACATTTGGTACCTTTAGATTCTACAGAACTCTGTTCTGTTATCGCGAGTTTAGCAAGGGCTTTGCTAAACTTGCGAAGGGATTGGTTCATATAAAATCGCCAATATTTTTCTGGAAGCAGAGAGATGAAAAATTAACATCGCCTTCGTAGGGAAGCGAACCGCGGAACTCTGGAATACCGACAGAGCATGCAGAACTACTACTCCACGAAGGCACGCTAAGAAAACGGGAGAAATACCTTATATACTCCCCTTTTTAAAGGGCGACTGGAGTTTTTAGTGGACCCAATGGCCAAATCCTGGGTGTGGAAAATCCTCATCCAACACCCTTTTAGTTCGGGCGCCACTGTAGAGACATTAGGTATTTTTTGGAGGCAGAGAGATGAAAAATTAACAACGTTTTCACCGGGAATCGAATCGCGGACCTCTGGAATACCGACCCACCGTGCAGAACCACTTCACCACGAAGGCACGCTAGGAAAGCGGGAGAAATACCTTATAATACTTAGTTTTAAAGTAGTTACATTGTTTACTTTTTTTTAAAGAATTAAAAGTACATACAATTTCTTCCATGCAATTTCTTTAGGAATGAGGACAATCTGTAAAAAAGTGCACAAAAAACTATAAAATAAAGCTTTACTTCATTTCGAGGGCCCATCAGCGGCCGAGCGGTAAAGTCGCTGAACGCTGGTAGTTCGGTTCGAATCCCGCGAACGGGCTGGCTGCATGGGTGTTTTCGTAGTTTTCCCATGTGTAACGTGTATACGAGCCAGTTTTCCGTAGAAAGTCCTCCGCGAAGGCATCGCTCCCCTTAGGCAGACAGCCCTCGACGCTTTGCCGTAATTAAATAACCTAAACCTAAACCTACCTCATTTCGAAGGAAGTACCAAAATGCAAATGTGAAGATATGACTTGCCGAGAGAAAAAAAAAGGATTACGTCCTCAAAATTTGTTTGAAGGATCAAGAATCAGTTTCTTAACGAAATTCGTTTCATTTACACATGATGTTTAGAATTAACTTCTAATGAATTTTGTCAGTATCAACTTTATATGAATCATTGCATTGTTGTTGACTGGAATAATTATATAAGGGAATTCTGCGGCCATGCACTGATGTCATTATTATTATTTACGTGTTATGCTCTAAGGCACTACACGGAAGGGAGAGATGCCTTCGTGAAGGACTTTCTAAGCGAAACTGGCTCGTATTCATACGTGGGTAAAACCTATGAAAACGGTCATGCAGCCAGCCCGTTCTCGGGATTCGAACTACCAGTGTTCAGGGGCTTTACCACTCGTCCGCTGCTGGACCTTGCACTGATGTCACAGACCTTACACTAATGTCGGTTAAAATAGGCGATACTGTAATATTATCGAAGTTTAATGAAAGTCTGTTTTTGGCGAAAACACAATGTTGGTCATATCCTTCCGCCCCAATGAGTGTGTGACAGGATTTACCGAGAAACCTAAAGAATGCTTTTTAGTTGCTATGCCTATCCGCTCTTCCATAACTTTGCTAAAATATTAAGAGAGTTCCGGAATTGAACATTTGTGCGTTAACCTTAAATATAATTCCCATTAGTGGTCCCTTTACTGGTCATCATACGCAAACTATTAAAATGTTACGAAAGAGTGCGAAATGGAGAAGTAAATGTCAAAGCGGCACTTACTGTAACCAATTAGATTCTTATATATTTGAGTTTATGTACGGGCAAAAAGTATTTTTTAAAACTCAAAAAATATTTTCAGACATTTTAAATGATACCTGCAGCTACATGCATCCGCTTTAATCTTAATTCCTTAATCGAATTTTTTCACTTGGATTTTTTTCGGCATAACCGTATCGTAAATATTTTGGTAATAGTTTTATGCTTCGAATTTTTAGCTGGATCGTCCGCTTTAGGCGATATTGGAATCCGGTTCCGATAACAGAACAGTACCGATATCCTATGGAAAAAAACTTACTGAATTGAATTTAATATCTGGATAAAACTGACGCACACCTTATATATCTGATTCTTTTTTCCCCATTCTGGTAAAGACCTGACAGACTTCGATAAGACAAAGTTTGCCATTACATGAATTCCTTTACCCTTTAATTCTTTGCAAGCTATTTAGTCAGTATCTTTAACAGCTATATCTTCAAATTTGTTTAAAAATTAAAAACTGCTTTATTTATAAATACAGCCTTGAATTTCTTTAATGACGGATCTCTAGATTGTCCTATTGTTCAATTTTATTATGTCCTGTGATTGAATGTTATATGATGTGTTATTCAGTGTTATAATATACGATGTCCTATTTAATGTTATAATTGAAATGTTGTCCATTGCATCAGTTTCGAAATATGCACATTTTTATGAAAAAATCAAAAAAGGGTTTGGTGGTTCTTTTTTTATTGCAAATTGAATCGACAAGTGAATGAAAAAGTTTTATGTCCATATGTGTGAGTGTATAGTTAGGTAAATAAAATATTACCCTATGTAGATTAATTTTTTATTTAATGGGAAGATTTTTGAAATATTAACTTAGAAACTCAGATTCATGACTCACTATACGGCACTAATAATCAATCTAAAAAGTGACTTTTATCCAATATATTTTATATC